GCTCCCGGTGCCTCTGGTCTGCTGGGGACCATCTCCAGCAGACCAGGGACACCGGGAGCAAAGGAGGCGGAGGGGCGCTGGGGTATAAGATGAAACCCTATCTTTTAATTAAAAAGATAGGGGGTCGTCTTATACACCCAGTCGCCCTATACGCCGGAAAATACGGTATGTGTTTCCCAGAATTAGAAGACCTTTATTCAATTAGCAGTTATGGGAAGTAACACATTGCTATGCTAACTTTGTAGCATCTTTAATGGGAATTATTTGCATAAGAATTATGATTAATACACACTAGTAATTTGAAATGTATTAGCAGATACATTTTAATCTAAATATTAAGAAAGTATATACAAGTATTGATCAGATAGTTCCCAAAGAGTAAATGGATCCGCTTAAATCATGCTACACCCAGAAAGAGAGACAAAAATATTCTCCATGTGCATTTTAGTCTTATAAATTAAAATTTGTTAAGAGAAATGAAATAGTTTATTCTGTGAAATATACTGAACAGTATAAAATGTATAGAATTCAGCATTAACTGTGCTGTTCCTTGAATTATTTCTGTTTGTTTCTTTAGTCATATTTTTTCTAAAACTCTAATAATTCAACTTTTTAACAGCATAAATACATTTTAAGACTTAAAAATTCCAGCTTAAAATCTATATTGCACTTTTATGCTGTAACTTTTTGAGGAAAAAGCAAATTTTTCCCTTAATTTATTACATCCTGGTTCTGGGGTTTCCGTTCATTCCCTATCAGTCCTTTTGAACATGTCCTTCTTGAGTGCATTTGTCTGAATGCTGATTGGGTGGTTCTTTCTTTCTTTGGATTTGGCCCTTAGGTAATCTCTCCTACTTCTTTTTCAACACAGCTAATAGTTCCCTTTTGAAATTTCTTCTTTGGAACTCCACTTCTGGAAGCATGTGACTCAATAGTGTTGAGTTCCAAAACCATTTCAAACATTAACTGTGGCATATACGGCATATACTCTGCCACAAAATGAATTCTTTCTTGTGTCATGCTTCTTCTTATTTGTTTACATATTTAGAGAATTGTTAAGAGATTATCAGAGTGAATCTGACTCTGCATTCAGACTGCTATATAGATGTCTCAATTAGAGTTGCACAAAAAATGTGAACAAAACTTTTGAGGAAAAATATGTGGATTTGGCAATACCTAATCATTTTACAAATTTATATTAATTTCACCCACTTGTTCCAGGTAAAAAAACAAACCAACTTTTTATTTTTAAATTTCTCTTAATTTTGTTTAATTTAGAAAATTTTAAAAATGCTCATAATCTAAGAATTTTTCAATATACTGTATCAATTTGCTGAAAACTGAAAAATTTCTTTTATGTGTTGACCCAAACCAACTTTTTTTTTCAAATTTCAGAATTGCGAGCAAATTGAAAAAAAAAATTATTCATTGCCAGGGCCTCAGAACTCTTACTACATGTATGTCGCAGACAGCTACTACAGCCTGCCTGAGACGTGTGTCTTTCAAACTTGTGGGGGCTGGGTAATTCACATCTTTACTCACCATTATTCTGAACAGCCAGACTGAGTCAGACCAAACTTCCATAAGTATGGATCTGTAGAAACAATATATCAGGAGAACATAAATGTTAGATAAATAACCTTCCGTTTTCATGTGCAGATATTTATACTGGGGCAGGATTTGTGAATTTTTTTGACCTTCAGGATTCATTTCAAAGCTTATTTCCTTGTTTTTGTGTGTGTTGAATGGTTAGTATTGGGTGACGAAAGAAACTTTTATATTTTGGATATTGATTACAAATTGTTTGCTTTACTAAGCAATGTTATATCTATCACAAAATTCTGGGTGAATTTGGAAAAATATATAAATAAATTATTATAAATTATCGATATACAGTGGAATATTAAATATATGGACTAGGTTTTCTTTTGCTGGTGCAGTACAAAAAGCCAAGAAAGCAGCCATTTTGGCCAGCTGAGAATTCCTTTACCTTGTGGAAGCTCTTGATAGGATCAAATTAACTGAACCAACTCTTTTGCTATCTCTAGTCCTGGGGTTAAGGAAGGCTGAAGAAGAGGCAAATCCAGAATATTCTTTATTTCAGTTGTTCACCACTTATGTATCCTTTCCTGGAACCATTGCCAGCAAATATAGGTTATAGCAGTTTTTAGCTGCTCTAACCAAAGGAAACCTACTGAAAATCAGGGAGCTGTAACTAGCTCCTGACTACTTTCTTTTGCACCAAGTTTCTGTTGGCATGTATGGTGATACTTTACCGAACTTCTAAATGTAAAGATGTTTCATGATTTTCTTGAGCTGGTGGCAGTGCTGTAAAACAATTCATACTAGAGAACCTTATTGCATGACAAACTGCCTCCTCTGTCTCATGAAGATATTTTCTCTTCCAATGTTTGTGGCTTTTCTTAATTAGAAGTGCTCTAGATAAATATGGAAAACATTAATATTTGTAAAGAAATTAATGATAAACTATAGGTAAAAATTTAATATATTAAAAATTTCATGTACCTTATTTACAAGAGCTGTCAGTAGTTGTGTAATTTATTTAGAAATATAAGAGTAATTATAAACAAACTCTTCCTCTTTAGGAAGTGACAAGAAGATGGAAGGAGAAGCTGCCTATTGCTTAGGACTAGCCTATCATTCTGCTGGACAAGAACAGACTGCAATAATAGTGAGTTTACTGAATATTTCTAATTTTTCTGGAAGCAACTACTTTGGCTTTACTATTAAGTGAAGTTAAATAAAGGTAGATTTTGATCTGCTGTTTTTAGTGAAGAAAAGTGTTACTGCTATTTAATATTTATTTTATGATTTTAATACAATAGACTGTACAAAATATCTACTGGAAATGTTTTCCCTGGATACATGTGCTTTCCTCTCCATGTCATCAGCACCTGGAATAAAAATAAGTGAAGCCCAGGAGGATGGAGGTGTTGATCTTTTCAAAACATTGAGAGAGTGGGAAGGGCGCTATTTGTCCTTGATGTAAAGGAGGTATTGACATGGCATTGCTGGTGTATTGTTGACACCTGAAGCCATGTTCTGCATTTGATATTATCCCCCTATTCACAGATGATGAATAGGATTGGAAAGTGTAATACATATAAGAACTCTGGAAAGACAGGACCATCTCTGTCTCTGGGATAAATTTTAGAGGAAAGATCAGTGACAATCCAGTATGCGTCTGCCAAACACTGCTGTATCTCTATGGAAATAAGGAGCATTCCATGATCAGCTCTAAACAATGTCAGGGGGAGATCCAGTAGTGTGAGTAAAGATGTATTTTACCCTTGTCCATGGACAATCAGAAGGGCATTCATCAAAGCAACCGATTCCCTCTCTGTGCATACCCAAGCCTTAAATTCATTTTGGAGGGATACAGTGTTCTAGCAGTAAACATGTTTCATGGAGAGGGCTCCATTGGTTTATTTTATTAACTTACCCAAAATGTGAACATTGGAAACTGGACAATAGTTGAAGTTGGTTGAGTTGAGTGATTATTTTTTCAGTATCAGTTGGTTTACTGTGTGCTTATAGTTGTTGGTGAATTTCCCTCTTCAGTGGAGAAATTGATAATTTGATATTACAGAAACTTTCTGTTATCTTTTTCATGATTCCTCAATGTTTCGTGGATGTTCTTCCATGCAATTAACTGAACTGTGGAAAAGAGGTATGGGTATTTTTCCTGTTATAGACATGTGGTTTCTAGTCTTCAGAGAAGCCATCCCTGTTGCTACTAATGATAAATGGGAATAGGCTGATAAATCCTCACAGTCATAGGTTCTGGGTTTTGAAGTTGAATGAAGGTGCTCTAGATTGAAACCAATTTATACAGTCCAGAATGTTTTACAGAGTGAGATTTAGTGGTTGAAATGACAAAGGAGAAAATGGGATCTTTTCCAGCATTACAGCATAATAGATTAATCAGAATTCTTTGTGCTGAAATCTCTCTTCACGTTCAAAAATTTTTTACAACAAACACTCCAAGTTTTCTTTCTTTCCTGCTGCTGTATTAGCAGGTGTCTGAGAACACAGAGACCTGTGGGCATGACATCTGTGGAAAGAGAAGTAATGGAGATAAAGAATTCTACATGGACACTTGATTTGTTAATGACTAGGAGAAGTTCCATGGCCAACAAGACAAGCACCTGCTTCATTCCATTCAAAGTCTGAAACCATACTTGAAAGCAGCCCAAGATTATCTGAGAATTATATTGTCAGACAGTTTCCTCATTGCTATTTCTTGCAATTTTTTTCTTAAAAAAGGAAGATTAGAAACCAGGTGATCATTTACTGAACTGTGTCTTTTTGATCACAGGTCAAATAATTGCTTTTTTGGAGGATGTTGGAACCTTTGTTCTTTTGGTTAAAATGCTCAGCTTTACATATTAGTTTGTGTTTTATAATAATTTTAAATCAACAGATAAAAATAACTGACAGTGAAAAAAAATTGTCTTTTTTGTTAAATATGGAACGTTCCCTCTACAGTACAGAATGTGAATGAGATTTAGTAGGGTGGATCAAGTATCCTCATTTGTGTTGTGGGTTATTAATATTTTCATCACTTGTGTGCTAATTAAAATAAACATATTAAATAGTTTAACTTGTGAAAGTTGTATTAAATTGTTAAATCAACTTTCTTTACATAAACTGACAAGATTTGCAATTAGAAAAATAGGTTAGTTGTCACTTTAAAAAGTACAGCATTATGCAAAATGAGAAAAGAAATAGAAATAGTATTTTATTTCATGCATTCTTTTCATCCTGTCCTGTAATCAATATATACAACAGTAAAATATCAATGGTTTCAGTGTCATTGAGCACAAGATTTCTTTTACTCTCCAATTAGAAATCATTGCCTAAAAATTACCCTTCTGTTCTCAATTTAATGGTCTCTGTATCCAAGGGGAGCTCAGATGCTTACAGAGATGAAATCATTGCATTCTGTTCCCAGAGGACTACTGGTTATCATTACGCATAACATACAAACAATACTGCTAGGAGCCAGTTTGCCTCATGGTAATGTGTAGTTCATCACCAGCTTCTGTAGCATGCTAAAGAGGTCTTGCCACTCAGCTTGGGACTATTTGAGTGTAGACTCGGGGGTCTCAGCAGTTATTTTCCTGCTTTGCATCAGAGTTTTCATCTTCTTTATCCTTTTGTGCTGTGGCCCACCTCAGGCAGTCTTCTTCTAGGGGAATCTAAAAGGAGCAGCTGTTACGGATACCATTTCCTCAAATTGTTGCCACTTGATTCCTTTTGCTGTTTAGTGTGTCATTCCCTCCCCCAACATGCGCACACAACACTATGCATATAAACTTGTTTCTCTTTCATTATCTCTTCTAACAAAGTGGTGAAGCATATGTTAAAAATATTCATTATCTGACACAGTAATTAAAAGGTTGAAATTATTAAGCTACAGTCTATCAAAATATAGCCTCTTTGTCTAGAGAATAGAATATTTTTTGGTGAATAGAATTTTTATTGCTAAACATGTAGGATATAGCCTGACTAATTGTTGATAAATCATTTATATGATATGTGTAATCTCAGTTTTGCAAAGACGGAGGGCAATTCTACACTAAAAAATTAAGTTGACCTAAGCTACCTTACTGTGCAACCACTGTAGTAATTAAATTGCTTTTGCATGTGTGCATTCTGCTCCTTGTGTAGGTGTTGCATATACTTACCAGAAACTCTAGCAGCAGTTTAACGGTTGGTGTGGGGCATTGTGAGACGGCTTCTGAAAAGCAGAAACCGTCTATTTAAGCAAAACAGTGTTTATACTGACACTACATCAGCCTAAGTACATTGATATGAGTGATAGGCCTCTGGCCGAGGAGGAGTTATTGAGAGCGTGTAGTGGGAGAATTACATAGGTCAGAGCAATATTTTAGCATCGAAGGTACATCTACTCTGCAACGCTATTTTGAGGTAGCAGAGTATCCTGAAATAGCTATCCAGTGTCTTAACAGCAAGCCCATTATCTCAGTCTTGCTATTCCGACGTCCCTGTAAACCTCATTGTACAAGGATTAAGGGACGTTTCAGAATAGGGCTTTATTTTGAAATTTGGCGCTGTGTAAACAGTGCCAAATGGCAAAATAAGCTATTTCGAAATAGCATCGAAATAAGATACATAATTTGCATCGCTCAATTTGCATATCTTATTTCAAGTTCTGGTGCAGTGTAGACACACTTTCACAGAGCTAGATTGACATAAACTGTCTTACCTTGACCTAATTCTGTAATGTAGACTGGGCTGGAGTTCAGTGAGATTATTCAACTATGTAGAGTTAAATACATGGATAAGTCTTTGCAAGATTGAGACTTAACTCCATTTAACATCTTTGTGGTATTTTTGCATGTCAAGCTCCAGTTTATAAATGTGTCTAATTACTGAAATAAAAATCTGAAATATAAAAAGTTATGAAAAGGTTAACTTGTTGCTGTCTAAACTAACTTGGCAGTAGGACTTGCTATAGATGCTTCTCTTCAAATTTGTATTGCTAACCAAGTATTTTTTTCAAACCTTATATATCCAACATACTTCCTCTTGAGCATCAGGGATGGACATGGTTGGAAAAGGGAACATGGGGCAGGGTGAACCAGGGCTCTGAGATGTCACTGAGCATTCTGTCTCTCAGGTGCTTGCCTGGCTGCTTCTTGATCTCACATGCTCAGGGTATGATTGCTCACCATATGTGGGATACAGAAAGAATTTTCTCTCAGGTCAGATTGGCAGTGCACTGGGAGGGAAGGGGGTGTTTTGCTTTTTTCTGAAATATGTGGGTGTAGGTATTCTGTCAGGAGTAGCTGAATATCTCTCATGTAATCATTTCTTCAAGCACTGGTTCACTTCAGTACTTTCTGTTCTATGTCTAGTCACATAATTATTCTCCTGTGGGCTATAATATTTTGGACTTATTTTGGTGAGTGGGTAGTGTATGGGTGCTAGATGTTGTTGGTGGCCTTTGTCATATAGGAGTTCAGACTAGATGATCTATGGTTTCTCTGGCCTTTGTTGCTTGATTTTAGGGGGTTAATATTATGGTTATTGGCTTGTCAGTTGATTTGTTGAGAAGATGATAATGTTCTTGTCCCAGAATCAGGCTACCCAGAGTTTGCAAGGACCCTTGGGATGTATGACAAGGACACTGACCCTGAGACACATATATCCTTAAAGACTTTTGAGGTAAATGGAACAGTAATCAAATGTTAAAATAATCAGAGTTACAAAAGCAATAATTTTGTTCTAGAGATACATGATTAATATACTCACATCCTTCCTTGATAACCTGCTTGTAAAAGACAAAGGACCAGCCTCCCCTTTGGCATTTCAAAAGAGTTCAGGTCTAGGTTCCTCAACTCTTGAATGGGAGGTGAGGAGCTCAGAAGACACTAAATAGCTAAGAGGTATCGATGATTAAGGAAGCTAACTTAGAGTTTTACTTAACTGATTAAAACTTACGTCTAAGAACTAACAGTCTAATAGACTAATAAACAAAAGGATAAGAAAAGAAAAGAACTAAGAACAAAGAAGCCTTTTTGGCATGGTTCATCTCCCTCCTTATAGAGCTTGAACACTTGTGCCCTCTCCTGTATTCAAACCTCGTATTCAGAAATGTTAGAGTTCACTTATTCCATGGGTTGTTATGTTTATACATATTGA